TTAACGTAGGGTTCAAATTCAAGAGCTCTGGCTATTGCATCCTGCATAGTAGAGGGGTGTGCTTTCTTTACTTGTATCTTCAGTTGTGGACTGTCCAAGGCATCTACAAACTGATCCACAAGCAACAACTTGAGAAGATCGACTGGCACAGTTGGGTAGGTCCTGTGTGCCATACTTTCCAAATCCTGCAGGTTCTCCCCTTTAGCACATTCTCTCGTCCTAAACCTGTAGACTTCAGACTGATTTTGGGTTCCATACCTGAGTTCTAGAGCTGCTACCAGTGCTCTATAGTTGTGCCTGTCGTCTGCTGACAACTGTCCAAGTATTTCCAGTGGTTGTCCCTTCAAGCTCATTGCCAGATATATATTGCTTTCTACTCCTCTGTCCATCCATTCATCTCTGCCAGGAGCTCAAATTGTACTCTATTAGTGATTTCTTCTTCAGGTTTGGTATGCCATACGAACTGCATTCTGACCAAGGCCCTAACTTTGAATCAGCTGTGTTCCATGAATGCTGCAAGTTGTTTGGCATCTGAAAGACCAGGACAATGCCACTTCACCCACAGTCTGGTGGGATGGTAGAAAAGTACAACTGGACACTGGGACAGGAATTGGCAAAGTTTTGTAATAGCCACCAAGATGACTGGGATGTCTTACTCCCTCCTCTATAGATGGCCTATAGAACAGCAAAGCATGAAACCACTGGATACACTCCAGCAAAGCTGATGTTTGGTCAGAAACTTTTGTTGCCAGTGGATCTGATAACAATTGACCACCTTATGAAGAGTTGCCTGAAAATGTGCCATCTGAAAGGATGGATGACATTCATCATCAAGTGCATTCGAAGTTAAAAACGTCTGCTGATTCCATGAAGCTATGTTATGATAAGAAATCTACTGAAGTCAGCTTTGTACCAGGAGACAAGGTGTGGTTGTATAATTACAGAAAGACCAAAGGGAAGTATCCTAAGTTGTATTCTCCATGGGAATGCCCATATGACATAGTGGATCGTCTCTCACATGTGACTTTTTGAATCAAATGTGGTTGGCGAGGTAAGCCAAAGGTGGTTCATGCCAACAGGCTTTGGCATTATCACTGTCCAGGTCATTTCAGTTGGAATGAAGTGTACAATGGAAGAAATGACGCTGCTGAAGACGTGTCACCTGAAAAAGCCACTGTTGAAGAAGAAATTCTACCCAGTTTAGAGAAGGGAAACAGTGAAGCCCTTCATGAAGTTACTACCACTGATGTGACTGCTACCGATAATGGGACATTTCCTGATGGAGCAGATGAACCTCACGTGAAGCAGAAGCCAATGAGAAGGAGACCAGTACGGAAGAAGAAACGTCCTGTAAAATTAAGAGACTTTGTTGTATTTTTAATTTTGTGTTTGTAAATTATGTACATTTAATTAAGTTATTGTTAATTATCTATTAGTTTAATATATGTGGCTATTGTTCGGGACGAACAATACTAAGGAAGGGGCAATGTTACGACAGCGGAAGTCGCATGACGCTGGAAGCCTGCACGCTGGAGTTTCTAGAAGGATCATGACTTATCGAGGAATCTCGCGAATGTCCGAGTGTTTGCTAGACGCCCTCTTTTTTAGTATATAAGCCTGGCGAGAAAAACCAGCGCAATTTGTAAAGATATAGATAGATTGAAGAGATAGATAATTGAATCAAGCCAACAGTAGGCACCGTAAGTAAAGTGTGTGGATCACTTTGATTTATAGAGTGTGTTATAAAAGTTGTTAAGTTTAAAGTGACTGTGGAAATTCTGTGTATTACAAAGTTGTATCGAGAAAGAATAAACTAGTTTTAATTAAGAAAGGACTCGTATCGCTGAAGTTCCTCCGATAGAATTTATACAGAAAATTAACAAACAAGCAGATACGTAACAGAATTTTAAACCTTTCTTTGGAATAACCTAAACCAAGCATGAAAATACTGAGTACATAAAATACGACGTTAAACACATTTCAGAAAATAATGTAAAATGTATACGTTTCTATACCGTGTCCGTCTATTACCACCACGTTTTTGTTATGTCTTTTTAAACGATGTGATGTCAATTGAGAGTAGTGATATAACAACGAGTATTTTAAATGCTACAGTTTCGTTTCAACCACTTTTTGAATTTTGTTATACTATGCCAATTGTGGTAAAGCAATCATATATTGATTAGTCGACGCAGGTGAACTAGTGATGGAGTATACGAAAGAAGCAGTAGGTGTTGCTAATAAGCGAAAGTTAAAAGACAATAAAAGTAGTGCTGAAGCAGAAGGTATTATTTTAGGTAAAGAGTCTCAAAAACTTGATAAAATTTCTGACTTGGAAAACGAGGAAAGTGTGAGACCCAAGAAGATTATTCGAAATAGCGTCAGCACAATTAGAAAATGTAGTTACGAAAGTCCAAAGAAAGAAGAAACTAAACTGGCGTCTAATGATAATAGACCTAGATGTAAATATGGGAGAGAATGCTACAGAAAGAATCCACAACATTTCAAAGAATTTTCACATTTTGGGGGTTTGTATAAACAGCTTGCTTTTATTATTATTTTTTTTAAATTAGAAGTTGAATAACTTAAAACATATGAACAATAAGGACCATTTGGCCTTCAACTTCAAGGGTTTACTGTTAAAGCAGTTTTTACACACCTTTAACTGTTGAAGAAAAAAGCAAAATATTATACTCATATTTTTTATCTTTTGGGAAATCATTGTTTAAATTTTTATAGGATGCTGATCTTCACTACTGTTGATGGAACTCATTTTGTAAGTTAACCACTTTCTTAGAATAGAACTTTGAAGGATTAAAGTTAAAGCACTCTTAATTTGAACCTAGCCTGTCTTTTTCAAAATTTTAAGTTTGGTTTCTCATGTTCTATTATGTTAAGAATACATCCTGTTTATTCCCCAGATACCTTTGTAAACTTCAATAACATAATGTCTTAACCTTCTTTTCTGAAGAGCAAATGATTTAACCCATCAGACTGAGTATCACTGTAAGGTAACTTTCCATCCCAGAAAAAATCCTAATGCCCTTCCTCTGAACCATTTTAAATATTAAGTCAGTGCTCCAAAACTGTACAAAGCACTCAAAGTGATGGCAGACTAATGATTTATTTATATAGAGAGAAATTACCACTTTTTATAAGTAAACTGTATAATTCTGTTAGCTTAACTAGCAACACAATACTGCTATGTGGCTTGAATGACTTATCTACCATTATGACAAGATTCTTTTCTTCAGTCACACTACTGATTGGGCTCTCATTTATACTAAATGTGATCAAAATTATGGTGACTAAATGCAGTACCTTCCACTTACTGTTATTACAGATGATTTACCAAATATTTGTCCATCTTACCAATTGATCCTGGTTATTTTGTAATACCTTAACATTCTCAGAACTGCTAGAAATACTTAATTTCATTAGCAAACTTCCCTAATTTACTAATTATGCCCATATTGTTATCATTAGTGTAAAAAAGAAAAAGTGCTGAACCCTAAGATACTCCTCTAGTATCAGTCGTTTAGTTTCTTTAGACTATTAGTAACAACTTTTGGCTTTCACTCATTTAGTCATCATACAATCCAATTTACTAATCTTTCCCAGTCTCTACCAACATGATTTTTGTAACTAGTCTTTTGTGTATATTTATAGACATGTTTCTTACATGTCAAAAACAAGTCATTATTGCTTTGCTCTACTAGTAGATCTGATATAGTGGAGCTAATTATCTTATATAAATGATTAGCTAGTCTTCACTTTGAATTCTGTGTAGTTTTGTTCTCCTTATCTAAGAAAGGATATTGACCAAATGGAAAGGGTTCATATGAATACTACAAGAATGATTCATGAATGGAAGGACCATCTTACAAATAGAGATTAAGATTTTTTAACTTTTCTGTTGAGATAAGAATGGTAAGTAGTGATTTTATTAAGTTTAGTAGATTATTCAGGGGATCAATAGGATAAAGGCCTCTGATTTTTTTTGCTTTATATACTCTGAAGAAAACAGAATAAAAAGACAAGTTTAAGAGAAGACAGAATACACTCTAAGAAAATTTTATTTTTCTGACTGGCTCATTGACATATGAAATGTTACCATTGGCAGTAGTGGAGATTAGCATTTCTGACTGCAAGAGGGGAACTAATTGCTTTCTTGAAAACAAATGGAAGGTATAAATATTTTTTACTTTTCTCAAAGGTGTTCAAGAACACCCTTGATGGACAAAATGGTCCCTTGTTGTCTTTAGGTTATGTTACATTATGAAGGCAGGAGGAGGAGAAACACAGGTTTATGATTTGGAAAAGACAGGCTAAGCTCCATTTAAGACAATTGTATTGTTAAATAGGGTGATTGGGTATGGAATGAATTGCTCTGTGTAGTAGTGGAGATCATTATATTGGAAGAGTATAAGAGGGAAATCTTATTTCTTAAAAATATAGGATGGATTGAAATGTTTACTTTTTGTCAAAAGTTGCAGAGACAGCCATGAAAGACCAAATGATTATTTGTTATCTGTAATGTTATATTATGTTACAGTATAATAATATTGTGTTTCTCTTTTTTTTTTCGCTGTTGCAGAAGAACCACTTAACAAAAAATCTCGACTAGATACCAATGACATGGAGAGTCCAAGTTCTAGTACGCAGAATAATCTGACTCCAAAAGTGATGAAAGAAAGTCACCCATCTTTTGGTTTTTATTTAACCAAGGTCAAAGGGTTAGCTCCTGAGTACAATCAACACAGTGCATTGGATTTAAAAGGTAAATTAAACAAATTTGTACATTTAATATGCTGAACAATATTTTATAGGCAAAATATTATTTCATTTGAAGGTTCTTGTGCTCAACTTTTTAACTTTTTGTGTAAATGTTTTCACAATTTCAAATTTGTTTGGATTTGTTATAAAAAATTCAAATACTTGGATATTGTGAAAAAAGTATCTTATTTATTGATGTGAAAATTTGTAAGTCATGTTTTCTGAACCTTGGTTTAGCCACAGTGTATTACTTGCGAAAACAGTAAAAATCAACAAATGCCAGTAAACATTCTATGATTAATGCTAATAACATTGTTGTAGGTAATAATAGGTACTGTTCCATTAACCCCCATCCCCATGCATATGGTAAGTTTTTACTATATGAATACAATGCGTATTAATATATTTTTAGAAATTTATTGTAAATAAAATGCATATTTATGTCTTTTTTATATTTATATATATATATATATATTTATTTTTTACAGTTATTAAAATTGCAGGGTCATAATGGAAAAGTACCTAATAATGAATAGTAAAAAATATTTCCTCTTATGATAATTGTATTAAGAATTATTTTAAACATATAACTTAAATTTATTTTCTAATAGTAATGCTTATTTACATTGGATGTCGTGTAAAACATATGGTATTTTTAGTCTCTACTTGATCTTGGTTAGTGCACACCAAACTATCTATAGACCAAATGGAAAGTAAAAACATCATACAACATTCTATATGAATGCACATTCCAATACATTATAGAAACAAAAGTCAGAACAGAGGAGCCTAGTAAACAAATAACTATGTAACATTGCCAACATTAACCCATCATGTCAGAGAGGGTCATATAATTAAATAAAAAAATAATAAAATAATAGGATGTGTGTGTGATCCAAGTATAAGAAATGAGAAGGTAAGCATTCTACAGCATCTAATAATAACACACATAGCTAACCCAATATAGATGTTGGCAAATTATGAATACCCCCTCGTATAAACATCTATATAGTCCAGTCAGCTATCAGTGGGAGAGATCCTGCCTTTGGGTGTTAATTCCTGATACTGTCACCACATACTGCTCTTTTCAGGATTTCCCAAAACATATGCAGCAAACTAGTACCTAAAACATAAGAACTAACTGGTAATAAATGAATTAAAAGATAGTAACTAATAAGAATTAGGTGATAAAATAGGCTACTAACCATGACAACAATTTGTTAACATAATTATGGCAGCAGTATATAAAAAATATTAACTTCTTTTTTTTTTTGTCTGTATCTAATGGCACAAGTTTATTGAATTTTTTATAGTTTTATTTAGTTTTAGTTAAAAGCTACAGTATAAAAACTTGCTTCCATAGACTTCTTTCTATGGGGATATGTTAAAGACAACATGTATTGCACACCTATAGCAAACATTACAAAGCTAAACATCAGGATAGCAGATGCCATCGCTACTGTAACTATGGGCATGTTGCAGAGAATGTGGACTGAAATGTATTATTAGTTAGACATGCTGAGAGCTACTAATGGTACACACATTAGAAGTCTGCTGTCATGTCAATAAAACTGAATTGGGCTACAAGATGTCGAAAACTGCATGGTTATATTTCTTTAGTTATTTAATTATTAAATTTTCAAATAGTAAATACTGGACCACTCTGTAAATAAATAAATGATATTGTATTATCTATGACATATCTAAATATTATTTTCAGTTGATCCATGTGGAATATCTGGAGTAAAATCAAGAGACACTGAGTAATATTAGGATGTTTTGAAATCCTGGATAAAGATGGGGAACATTTCTTTGTGTAATATTTCTATTAAGTCATCAGAAACAGTTGAGGATATGTATGAGACATGACCTTTTCCCTTATTTGCACATTTTTGAATGTGTTCAGCAAGAAATGTATCACACCAAGCCTATAGCTCCAGTATTCTTAAGTAATTGTCATTATGCACTGAACCAACTAATTCATCTCTGTCTATGAAAGATAGCCCTCTGTATGATAGGAACTTTATGACTGAGAGAATACGCATTAGAACATAGAGCCAGTGTTTTTTCTCTGACTTCATCTGCCCTGTTAAAGCCTTTTTGGTTTGGTCACTTTTGGTTTTATGAATAATATTTGGTGACAGAACTTTGATGCAGCAAGCTTGTTTTGTGCTGACTAAAGTCCCTTGCAGTATCTTTCCAGGTAGAGTAACCAGTTGTTGCTAGTGAAGAAGTTTCCATTGCTGTTTATAACAATTTGCATATAATGCAGAAGATGTTGCCCTTCAATGGTGAGTAGCAAGGCCAATTAGTCGCAATTAAAAAGGCTTTTGAACATTGGCATTTATTCTTGTAACCCAGAACTGATTTTGTGGATGTACTGAAATCAGCTTCCATGTACTGGCAAGAAGTAATCTTTGACACACAAACAAAGTCTCTCATTTTGTCTGAAACTTTTGTCCATGTACCAGTGTCGAATGTAAAGGATGGGTTAGTATCTTCATTGCCATTGCAATAACTGACTTTTTCCTGTTGGTAGGGGCACCATTCAGTTTGATGACGTTATGGTATCAGCTTCGAGAGTTGTTGTCTCTACATGATTGTTTTAATATTCTTGGCTTGTGGTTATATTTTCAGTACTTTCTGATTGAGGACAAAGGCTTGATTTGTTATGATAAGGTTGATGGTCATCAGCATCTAGAGATTTAGCATCTACTTTATTATTTCCACTGTCTTGACTTCTGATGGTTTTGGCACTACAGGATGAAGTGCATACATCTGTTAGCTTCCTAGTTTAACTACCACTTAGCTTTTCCCAGCTGTTCTTGTGTTTGTACATCTGTATAATAGACAAGATGAACACTTAATGAACAATGTGTGTGCATGTATAAGCGTACATGTGTGTATGTGTGAGAGAGAGGGGGGATGTCAGAACAAGCGACCTCGTAGTTTTCTAACAAATGATCACATATCATATTTCGTAATTAACTCAAAAATTTTATATTTTGTACTTGGATGATTTGTATTCTATTTCTGCCAATTAATGATGCTTGTCAAATGTCCAATGAGTTATTTGCAGCAGTAAGTGGGCCAATATAGGTCCAAAAGTAATTTTGAATTTTTTATGGGATAATTTGCAAATTCTGTTCAAGAAATACATGTGATTGATACAATATTTCTCAAAACTTAAAATACTGTTACTTACCTTGTTAGTGATGATTGAACTCTTTTTCTTGAACAAAATCCAAAGCCTTTGAGAATGAAGAATCGAAAGATATGGGTATTTTCAATGTAGCCTAGCAACATAGGTCTAGTCATATTATAGGCCTACTGCTTTATCATATGTAAAGAAAAAGTATGTTGGGTGCAAGCCATGAGGGAAAAGACTGGCTGATAGTGTTATGAAAATGGTTAATGAAGAGATTTTTATGGCTTTTCTTAGACCTAGCACATTTGCCTTGCAAATTGTGGGTAAATGTGCTAGATCATAGTGGGGCTACATCTGGCCACTCTATTTGGAGGCAAGCCAATCAAATCTCTGCACTCTAAATTGCACAATAAGCCTACCTGTGTCACACATAGTCTTTTTCTATCTCTTCAAAAATAAGTAGACTCTGAAGAATTATTTTTATTAATCATTTCGCTAAAAAATGATTTTTTTGTGTAATAGGGCTGTTTTGAGTCCATACCTGAGGCTACAGCCCCAGTAATCCCCACTTTAACCCCCACACCTCTGCCATTATGAAAGGGAAAAGAATATTAAGTGAAATAGCAACAAATGAAGAAAGTTTGATTTTTACACTTATTGATATGGTTATGGTGAAGAAGAAGAAGGGCCCAACTATCCATGTTAATTTTTTACCAGTGATGGTAGTTTAGATGGGTAATATGAAATATGGGAAGAAAAATGTATTTAAAATTCAAATTTTACAAAATATTTTTATTTTTTCAACGTATAACAATAGAAATTCAAATTAGAAATGGTAGAGGAAGTGCACCACCATATGACATGATACGATTTCTTTCCAGAATTTGTATAAATGAAGAGGTCACATTGACTTTGCTAACGGCTCAAGGGTTTCTTTGTTGTGAATATAACAGTGCTCAATGTAATGAGTCTTGTCAATTGACACACTTCATTCATATGTTACAAGTCCAAAATTAACATGGTAACTTGGTGTTTTTCTCCTTGATACCATAATTTTTAAAATTTACTGTTTTATAATGTTCTCTATTAAGGGTTTGATAAAGAAAAAAATCTCAAGATCTTAGTCAAAGACAGCAATTATCTCAAAAGGAGAGGTATTTATGCAAAAAAAAAATGTTGTGTACAGACATATATTTTGTTTATAGTCATTCCATGTTTTTACACTTCTTTACTTGAAATCTAAATACAACAACTTCATATTCTGTTTAGTAGGTTTTTGCAATATTTAACTCTTTTTCAGAATAGGCATCATTTTTGTGCATATCAGGAGGTTTTAGTGACTTGCATTCAAAATTTTAATTAACCTCTTACCTACCAGGCCATCTTGTCTTATTGTGAGGGCAATATCACATTTGTGAATTGAAACAATTATTGGATTTCAGATTTTATTTTTTGTGAATAGTAGCATAACATTCAGTTATTTGTCCTAAATTGTATTATTCAATGAAGTTTGAAGTGAAGCTTAATAAACAAAATCCCAAAATACATTTGAGACTATAAATAAGTGATTTCTGAGAAAAAAGTTTTTCATTGCACTGTAGCACTGGCCCTGCCATCTATGATTGGTATCTAAGCCTTTTTTCTAGTCTATTTTCTTTATAAAACAGTGTCTGGGTGTGTTAAATCTCAGTTGTAAAACTTTTAGCCAATCCTAGTTGAAGGTGTCAATTTCAGTACCATGTTATTCCAATCACTGTATTTCATGTTTGACAAATCAGAGGATGATAAGCAAAGCACGTGATGAAACATTGTTCTATGGATTTTACAATATGAACATGGATGGTGCTTATTATAGT